CCCCAAAACCCCAAAACCCCAAAACCCCAAAACCCCAAAACCCCAAAACCCCAAAACCCCATAAGAGGATTTGATAATTGAAGATAATAATTTTAGATTTTCTTTCTTGATTTAAATTGCTCTTCACTCGATGATTCATTAGATACCCCCAGTTTAGGTTTTGATAGTAGGTTATACAAGATATAATATAACAGACAATATCAGATCAGTAAAATACCTATTGATGTTGCACAGTTTCTGTACCCAAAATACTCAGTGACATAGCTTCCATAAATTGGTGCAAATCCTTGGCCAAGCATTAAATAAAAGTTGAACACTCCTGATGAAATATCTGAAATTAAATACTTATGCTTTGGATATTTGTCTACTCCAGCTTTAATGAGAATTGGAAGTATTGGGAGCATAAATATCACTTCAGTTGCACCCATGATCAAGTGTCCTGTTGATAAAATGACCAAACTATTCGGAAGTAAAGTGCTTGGACCCATTAAAAATAAAGAACATCCAGTCAAGAGTATTCCAAACATGATCAATTTTTTAGGGTCAAAGTTCTCAATAAAGAAGGAAGAGAAAATATTCATGACGAAATATGTAACAGGAGAAATACTAAATACTAAGCCTATTCCAAATTTAGAAAGATTGAACTCTACAAGTCTCACTGTCAGAACTGCTTCATAGTATCAAAAGGCAAAGAAACATAAAAACCCTCAGATCGAAGTAAGTAAGAACAAAGGGTCTATAAGCAGTTTAGTGAAAGAAAATTTAGAGACTGAGGTTAAGCTTTCCTGGTCATGTGCCACCAAAATACTTTCTTCATTTACTTTGGAGTCATTGATATCAACTGAGTTTGGAATGAGCCAGTACAATAGACACAACATGCATGAAAATGCTCAAGCCATTATGAAAAATGTCCCTTGGAATCCAGCTAAAGAGTACAGAATTGAACCAAGCACAGGACCAAATGATCATCCAACTCCTTTTGCTGATTCTCCGTAGCCAAGGTAAGTCATTTTCTGGCTAGCAAAAGAGACAGCAATTATTGCGTATGTAGAAGTTGTTACCATTCATGCGGCAACTCCTTGCATGATCCTAGCTCCAAACAGAAAACAGACTACTTTACTTTTGTTCTTGAGATTGCCTCAAATTGCAAAAGTGATCATGCAGACGATCATCAAAGTGATTCCACCTAAACAACATGAGTTGGATAAGATACTTACACAATAGGACTCTATTTTCTACCAAACCAGCGCATGAGAGTGATGACTCATAAGGAAAACACCATGCTGACTAGAGGATAAGTCGCGTAGATGTAGCCCAAAGTCAGAACTGAGATCTCAAACTTAGCAAACTCAATGGGGATGAATGGAACAAAGAGCATATAGGTGGTTGACATCGTAATATTTGACGCAATAAGAATTGCAAAGGTTTTCCTATTCATTATGATATTATCTTTATTATTAATCCAAACTCGGCCTAGTTGTTAATATTCTAAGGTTACATATTATTTATTCAGTTGGAATACTCAGCTAATTAAAAAATTATTGTTCATTTACAATAATAATTTCAATTATCGAGAGTAAACTAGGGGTTTTGGGGTTTTGGGGTTTTGGGGTTTTGGGG